TGCACTGATGGGGAAGTGAGTACACCTTGCAGGGCACAAGCAATTGACCATTTTAAACGATTCACTTCAGAAGGTTGATCAGAGAAAAAAAAAATATTACTGAATTTACTGAACACTCATCTGTTATTCTCTCTCTCTCCATATATATATATATATATATATATATATATAAAAATAAATTTCACCAAGACAAATCAGTTGGTCTGGAGTTATGATCAAATCTTTTGAAACAAAAGTTTTTTTACCTATAAGTTTTATCATTTGTGTCAGAGTTCTTTGTTCATTGCTCAAACCTAACAACAAACAAAGGAAACTTTCTTTCCAAAGCATTTCATTATAATAAAGACAATTCTACTTAAAATACTTTGTCAATTTTGTCTTTCTATTGTTATTATCATAGTAATTTTTCATGAGTTGACAACTTGGTCCACATACCTTAGGCGATATATCTTTGAAAATATATAGATAAAAAAAAATTGAATATTATTGATAAATATCAAAAAGAAAGTTTTGAAATCAAGAAAACATTTGATGAGAGAAGATTGTGGTAATAGAAAATTTTTACCTACATACAATGCAACCAGTCACCAAAATGCTTGATTTTTAAAGCTTTTCAAAATAAAATCACCAGTGACCATCTTTATTTTTTTGGGTGGTTAAAAAAAATTATAAAAACTCATGCTATACTCGTGTATGTATGATACAAAGCAGTTTATATACTGAAAATAGTCTAAAATTCAAAATAAAAAAGGTTGATAATAAAACTTTAAAAGCAACAAAAATATTTATATTTTAATCTAAATTTACTTGTTTAGCCAAGTGATTTGGTCAAGAGCCAATTTAATTGCTAACATTTTTACTTCTTCAACTTGTTTGAAAAATTTCCAATTTAATTTCTAAGCAATTCATTAATTATCCTCAATTTATTTAAAGCCAATGAATCTTCTTATTTAAATTAATCTTAACAATTTTAAAAATTAAACTGTGTCCACTGGAAATATGTAGTATTTAAAAAGAGTAAAATTAGTTTGACAGCTTAAAACAAGGAACAAATGATTAGTCAAGTAAAATTCCTTAAGTCATCCACTCTTGAAGACATGTTTAGAATAAAAAACAAATGAAAATACACTAATTGATAGAACTGTCAGTCATGAATATCTAAAAATAAAACAATCTAAAAGAAACTGTAACAGTTTATTCATGAATGTTAGCAAAGTAGTAAAATTAAATCATGTATGTGTAATGAAGAGATGCAAAAGGAGAGTGTGTGTGTGTGTGTGTGTGTGTGTGTGAGAATTGCATGAATAAATGCCAAAATAGATGGACATCTAGGCAATAGGTCTTTTAATGCATCAAAAATATGCTAAAGTTGTTAATAAAACCAGATCAATTAAGTGCCATTCGCAGGGCCAGATTATCCTTTACACTAGTATAGTCTGCAGTCTTCAAGCTTTTATAAAGCAATGATTTTAATTTTCTAGATGTTATAACTTCTAAACTCATATTTATTTGACTTTGCATGAAGCAAAGCAAAAAAAAAAGGTTTTAGTTTGAGTCATTGTGTTTCATGTAGATGACATCTTTGATTTTATTTCAGAATGTATAAATCTTAGACATTTTTATAAAGCCGGGATTTTAATTTTCAAGATGTTATAACTTCTAAATAGTTTAATAAACTGAAATGATATCAATATGACAAACTCATTTATTTTGACTGCTTTATTTTTATAATGCTGGCTATAAAAAAATCTCTTTTACTGTCAGTCAGTCAGTATGTGCCATGTGTGATACATGTGTATACAATCACGTATCTTTCAATATATAACTGACAAAGCAGGTTTTTTTTTCCCCCCGCAGTAGGTTGTTATTTCTTTCTGCAGCAGACCAGTTGCCATCCAAGGCTATAGAACCCAGTCTGTCCTGCTATTTACCCATAACTAGGGGGAGAAGAAGAGGATTCATACCTTTCCCAATGTTATTAGCACATAAGTGAATGTAATGGATTCAACTGGAATTTGAACTCAGCTCTCCGATTCCTCAATCCAAGCTGCTATCCATTACTCCACCGTGCATACTTATTATGGTTGTGTGGAAATATGTGCTAATTTACTTTGCGATAAAAATATTTTTATTAACAAACAAAAGATAGCTCTTCTAGTTTATTTAAAGATTTTGCAATAAATTTACTTCAAGCTATATAAGTGCCACTAAAATATATTATAAGTAAAAATATTCAAAACGGGTGCAGGCAAGTTAGAGGGTGGCTTTGCCTGGGCAGAGGGCATAATTTTCTTAGCCTAGGGGTCCCATATGTGATACAGATTTGGGCGATCAGGTCTCTTTTGATTCATGACTGACTAGGAAGAAGAATTTCCTGCAGTATGCTGTTTGCCAACCAAGGCTATAGGACCCAATCTATTCTGCTTTTCAACCCATAGCTGGGAAGAGAAGTGATGGATTCATTACCTTTCCCCAAGGATATTTGCACATAAGTGAATAATGTAACGAACCCAATTGGAATTCAAACTTAGCTCTCGAATTTCTCATGCTGCATCACGCATCCTAAGATATTACATTTTCCCACAAAAAAATTCGATATGGAAGAGGGGGAATACTAAAAAAATTCATGCACACATCCAGTTTGTAAAAAACATTTCTCTTAAAATGGACATTTTTAAATATTAGGTTCTTAATATAAGTCTTAGATCAATCAAGAACATATGGATAATATTTTAATTCTAATTTTAAAATTTTATAATATCCAAATTTAAAGAGTTGTCTTATAAAACAGTTTAAAAAAATGTTTCAAAGATTTTTAAGTTGGCAGGAATTATAATGACTTCTTATCAAAAGGTAAAACAAAGACAGGACTGTGCTGTGTCATCATTCCAGTGGAGAGTATTGCCTACCTTGAAAATCAGCATTCAAAATCCTGAAATTTGCTAGGTTTGAAAATTTACCCCTATTACTGTAGCCATGGTTAAAAGTAATTGGCAGAAATGCCTAACAAACAAAATTGACAAAGTTTGCAATAAACAATAACAAAAGAAAGAAAAGAGAAGAACAGCACAAAAATAATATTGAGCAAGCAAACAATATATGCAAGGCAAAACAACAGTAATAAGACAATAGAAAGTTCACAATCTAAGAATGGTGTTAACACACAAAAGGGATACAGACAAGTGATTGCAGTTTTCTGGCTTCAAAAAAAAAAAAAAAAAAAAAGAAATGAGTCAGATGAGACCGAAAAGTTATTAGTTAGGAAGAAATCCCAACATGCATCTGTGTGTTTTGTCTATAAATTAGGCAGGGAGGAAGTTTTTTGCAGCCATTCCAACTTAATTGAAACCAACAATTACCAATAGTTAATTTAGATTTGTTGGTAAGACTTAGATTGCCAAAGATCATCCATGAGTAAGCAATGAATATTCACATTGGAATATTGTGTCAACAAATTCATCTTTTGTAGTTTGTATCAAGCTTGGGATAAAAAGGGGTATTTAATATTTAATTTTATATTGGCAATAACTATAAAGCACTTGAGGCTTCATTAACTTCAATAAAATTAACTGTATTATAATCGACTGTTAATATAGTATTTAACAAATGAATATACTTTTTGCACAAGATGCAATAGTATACTGATGGAAGGATTCCAAAAGTCCTTCTGTATGGGAACTGGTCAAGAGGGTGACCTCATCTTTGTTCCAAGGACATTTGCAAAAGTGACCATAGGGCAATGAGCATGGATATTGAGAGATGTGAAGATGTCACCAATGATTGACAGAGATTTATACAGAGAGCTGGAGTGAGGAGAGAAAAAAACAGAGGCTTGCTTCCAGGGAGAAGTGAGCTTGAAGGAAAAAAAACACAGCAACATCAGGGGAGAATGTCTTCACATGCATTCATTGCAATTAAGACTGTCACTTCTGTGTGGTCCTGTAGAGTCATAACAGATGCTGCACCTACATCAGTACTGAAGCATAACTCTTTGGATGTAGATCCATGGTTTCTCAAGACCGACAGATGCCACATACAAAGTGTGATGGGTAAATTCTCACCATTTTATACTTTTAATTTCACATATGCGCATTATTGGTTTTTGATATTGTCAACTGCACAGTATAGTAGGGTCAGTTGGGCACTGGCTGTGAGAAAAAGAGCACCATGACGGAATTCACTCCACTAGAAATTTGGAAATGGCATGCTGTACAGATTGGCATTTGCACCAGATAGTCCAATATGAACATTTCAGAGTGAGTGTCAATCTGAGAACAGTGCAGAGGATTTGGAAAGAGTTGGATGATATATTCAAACAACATCATCATGGTGTTTGGAGTTATCGTTAGTGATGGTGATGTCATGCCTCCATTCATCTTCCCTCAGAGCATCAACAAGAGCCTTAAGGAAGTAGTGCTATCCTGGGTCAAGAGGGTGGCTGTTGGAAGACACTATGTCTGGCCATAGGACTCTGCACCATACTACACAAACAGGAGAACCCTGTTATAGCTGTCAGACAATTTCTGCAACCACATCACCCCTTACATCCGTGCACCTAACTCCCCAGACTGCAACCCCCTTTATTATGTGTGGGGCACAGTTGAGAGAGACCAACAAAACTCCTTGTAACACAAAAGATGAACTGAAGGTAAGGATTATGACAGCATTCACCAACTTCAACAAGGCGACTGACCACAAAAGATGCAGAAGATCCTGAAGTCAGCTGGAGGCTGTGGTTGAAGTCATTGGCAATTTTATTGAATAAATTTACTCTTTAGTATTTCAAGATATTTGTGTAATTTTGGTAAATATATCTGTTAAAAAATTTTCATTTTTGTGTAATTTATACAACAATCACACTCTGTAGATAAAAAAATGAATATAGTTTTATGAACATTACAATTCTGTTAACAAAATGGAACTAACATATTTTATAATTCCATCCAAAGAGGAAATATAAGATTGAATAAAGTGATGACTTTTTTTTTTATTTGTCTTACCTGTTTGGTGACAACAAAATAAGCATACATGGCCATAGTAGTGCCATAAGTAACAAAGTAGGTAACAGGTTCCATAATATCCCAGGAGTATTCCCACCACGTAAGTCTGGCAAGAATTCCAAACTGTAATCCCATCATTCCTAATCCGAGCCAGGAGAGGATATTCGTCCTTCTATTAGCACGTTGCTCTAGGTCTCTTTTCACCTGAATCATAAAAAAAAGACAGTGTGAATGAAAGAAAATAAAAAAAAAATGTATTTGCTGAACGGGGAAACAGAATTGAATCACTTTGGCATATTTATAAAATGCATAAGCAATAAAGTTAGCAGCAAAAGTTTTATGATATCACAAAGACGCAAATAGAAATTGATATGTCCTGGAAAGGAATATATTTGTTCGAAGTAGCAAAGTGGTTGTTGACTGAGTAGGACAATCTAGCAGGTAACCGTAATGGACTGGTCTTCGTCGAGGTTGTAGGCAATAGGCAAAGACTATAGGCGTAGTCAATAGGTGTCTTCCATGTACCTCCACATCAGTCTGTATTTATGGCTGACACCAGCCAATCATATTACTGTGAGGGGGAACCCAGGTGTATGTATATGCATTACATCAGAAATCATTGTTTATATTTTCATTATTTAGATTTACATATATACAGATAATTTAGATAAACCCCTCAAAATAGTAAAGAATATAAAAATAAATTCAAAGGGATGTAGAAACATTCTCAGTCAACCATGGATGAAAAGGGATGAAGAAAAAAAAATCTGATGCTTGGTCATTAGAGCAAGTTGATTTTGGAACTGTGGTATTTTGCACTCAATTTGTTGGTCTTCTGCATCCTATTTTAAAAAAACATAGATTATATATATATATATATATATATATATATATATATATATATATATATATATATATATATACACACAGACATGAGATAGATAGATAAGGATGCATGCAGGCAACAGTTTGGTCAATCAGCTATAATATCGTAAAATGTTGATAAAAAAAAAAAAATAAATAGATTTTAAATATTTTTATGAGAAAAACAATGTAAGCAAAATAAGATATACCCACAGAGAAAGTTAATATGAAAAGCATAAATTTGGTGTCTAATTGTCTCATATTTAAATAAAAATTACCAAAAACAATTGCTAAGAATAAATAATGACACCATTAACATCCCCATTGCTAAATTATTATTCACAGACCCCAAACTTTGGGAACTTTTGAAATAGATGCCCAACTTTTATTTTTACTTTAAACAGTGTATATTCTATCTATTATCTACTGAGTTGCACATTCCAGAAATCTTAAAGAAAATGTATGCTCCTATAGGAATTGAACTTGTATGTAGGAGAAAGCTCACTGGATCAAACAGTGGTTTCTCCTACAAAAGAGGATGCAGGTTCAATTCCTGTTGGCAAGTATATTTTCATTAAGATTGCTGGAATGCCCATACTGATAAACAATACATGTAATACACACTGTTTAAAATAAAAATAAAGACAAGGTGTCTATTTCAGATACCAGTATCTACTATAATAATGTTTGAAAAAATAAGTATAAACAGTCAATTGCTGATACCTCCTGATGAGTGAATGGAGTGATTCTTGGAGGGTCTGTCTATGAAACTCTAGAGTTGTGATGATGTTGAAGGTAACATCTATCAACTAAGTGGCAAACCTTTTACTTGTATTTATAAGAAAATTGAAGTGTACTTATCCACTAAATGTGAATCATATTTTGTTGTGCTAATGTAGTTGCTGATTTTGTGAATTCACAAATTGTCATATACGAAGGATGCTGAAATGCTATCAGCTCAATTCATTTTCTAAAATCTGAAAAACCTAAGAATTTGGAGGAAAATACATTCTTGGTTGTATTGAGTATTTTTTATAGTCTCTTTTTTGTTGAGAATAGCCTTCTAAAATTCTTCTTTGCAGGTAAAATGTCTGCCAATATAATCCTTCCTCTTTAGAATGTTCCACAAGTTTTTAATTAGGTTAATGTTGGGCAAATAAGTCAACCACTTCATCAAACCAGTATCTTTAAAACACATTTTAAACTCTAGATATTCATTTAATTTTCTTGGCCAAATACGAGGACTGTTGTGCAAAACTTTAATCTTTGTGAAAGTGTTTGGCATCTTCTTGAAGCATGGCTCTATCTATGCCTTGAAAAGAATAATCAAAGTATGTTTGAACTTTCATCTTAACACTACATGTAAGTTGCCATGGATCCACACTTATAATCTCAACCAAAAACATCACATTATCTCCATCCTGTTAATATCAGAACCTGTTAATGCAGTTTCCACCCAGTTTTTTTTTTGTTTCATCCATCTCGTCCATCAAGAAGAGAACAGCATTTTACAATGGAAATAATGGTTGAAAGGAAAAAAAAAAAATCAATCAGTCTTCAAGTATTTATTGCTTATTCCATTCATTTGGTATCATATTTTGCCATTTGATTTTTGACAATATTTTGTGCTTTTTAGCACTGCCTCATAAATAATGCCTAAATATTTTATAGCTTTATAAAGATTGATTTTTATGACTTCTCTTTTGATATTTGATACAGATTGGAAAGATAAATCTTCTCAACTTGCATTGATCAGACCTGTGTCAGAATATGCCAAGATCATTAAAGAACTTCTTCATAGTCTGATTGTATCTCCCAATCATTTCAGCCAGTCTTTTTGATGGATTTTTATGACTTCTCTTTTGATAGGGGATGTAGACTAGCAATATTCTGTCAATATTGGAGTTGTCCAGGATCATCAAAGAGTCTCTTCATGGTTCAATGGTAATTACTGATTAATTTTCACTATTTCCAGCATTGTTTTAATCTATTCTAAGTCAATGCTTAAAATTTATTAAATATTTTTCTTTGTCCATGAACTCTGCCTTAACTCATGTTAAACTTGCAATATAGTTATTCATTTCAGACTTCAAAATTCAGGACATTTCATACAAATGGCTGCCTTTTTGTTTTCTGGGTAGAATGAACCCATTTTCATCTTAACTGCATAGATAAATGTTCACATCATTCAGTGAAGAAACCTTTAGACTCCAGTAAGTAATTATTTTATATATCAATAAAACAAAGTTATTTATAATGTTAGATGCAGATGTATCCATTTGTGCTGTCCATTTTACAAGAGTGATTTTCACAAAAAATATGACTAACAAAATATTGAAGTAAGACTTTTACTCTAAAAGGATAAACAATATTCCAAGATGTTAAAAAATTGCAAATCTCAAATTTATTTTTTCAAACATAACCAGTAAACAGTTATCTTTCTCAAATCTTGCAACTTAATCTAATTCTTGGTACCAAAACTATCAGTTAATTCAGTTAACTAGAACCATCTAACATTTGCTTATCTTTGAGCAAAATGGAATTAAATTAATTACAGGCATTCTAGATATCAACTGAAAAGATTGTAATTACTAAAACATTTTTAATGATTTTGTACTTAGGTGACAATTATAATTTACCACAGGAGATTGTATTTTATATGCACAGAATACATGATAACTGTCAATTCATAAAATGCATATAACCATCACTGACATGTTTGATATATGGCTTCAGTTTTTGTAAAAACAAACCAAGTGACTTGCAATCCTTATGGCAAACTAAGTTGTTTATAAAATGAGTTGTTTTGTAAATACTGTTCAGGTTGCTTGTGGGTTTTCATGTGACAGGTGAGACTGGAGTGGTCTCTGCAGATTTTCTGATGCACATTGTATGTTAAGCATAGTACTGATTATAATTTGTCAAAAGGTTTACCTATAGGATTATTCTAGTGTCTAACAGAGCCTGTATTCAAGAGACATACACTGCTACTTCCCCACTCACACATGCTGTAGTCTAGCAGTAAAAGACTCTCTATTCAAACATGGAAATCCACTAAAAATAATGTTTGAAGTAATATTTTGTTTTCCCTAGAAGTTTTTCTTCATAGATTCATTATATATACCAAAATTTTAGATGCTGAATCAGTTATGACAAATAAATTATGTTTCAATAAAAAAAATATCTTCTGATTAAGGAAAGTTGATCAAAATTTGAAATATATAGTGACTGACATTGCATTTAAATTTTTGCAGATTAAAGTTGGCTGGAAAACAGAGCCAGAAGGGAGATCCACAAGCAAGAAATGTGAGATAAGAAACTGTTAGCATAGAATTTATGGTTACATCTAGGCAGCTGAACTGTAAATTGATGAGATCTTGATGCCAGTCTAGTACTGTGCTTAAATTGAAAAAGTCTAGGTATCATAGTGAAGATTTTAATAAATAGAAAAAGATCCACATATAATATTGCATTGAATTAATTTCTAAATTCCAATACTGTAGATCCTAAAATTCATTACTTTTTTCCTGAAACTGATAAGAAAGAAAACACTAGTTTTGTTCCTTATAAAATCTTGAATTCTAGTTCAAAATTATACATTCAGTTGATATGCAACAATGTTTACATCCAAATGAAAAAATGGTATTATATAAAGAATTATATGAGTGTAACCAAATTATGATCCATTAGCAAAAGAAAAGAACATACATCAGGTGGGATAAATTTTTAAATGAGACAGTTGAACTTATTCAAAACTAGATTAAGACAAATTTGTAAAGAAATATAAGCTGAAACCACATTATGGTAGTTGCAAGTGTACTCTTCCAAAAAGATCCTGTGATTAAAGAAAACTGGTAATAAAACCTTTTATTTTATATATATATATATATATATATATATATATATATATATATATATATCAGTTGAAGACATCCCTAACACAGGCCAACATTGACCCTGAGATCTGGGAAACTGTTGCTGCAAATTGGCCTTCCTGGTTGGCATAGGACCATCCAAGACTTGCAAATCTAACCATCAACATGAAGAGAATTTGCAACGTGCTGTCAGGAGAGCCCAGCTTGTTGACCTGTGTTCACCACCCACACGCTTCTGTGACTCCTGTTCTCAGTCTTCATGTCCATCTCCACCCTAGGTGCTAGCAGAAGGGAGAAAGGGTAATGATGATGATCTCGATGTGAGAGGGTGCCAATTATATTTGATAAAAAGATATTTTAAGGTATGCTATATTTATGGTTGAAAGTGGTTAATATCAAGCATAGAATGTATGTAAAGATAAAAGTGAACATTGAGGTCAACACCCAGCAGCAACAGTCTATTCC